CCCCCTTAACCCCAACCCCCCAAACCCCCGGTCCTCCCACCCCGACTCATTTCTCCCATTTTCCCCTCATTTCCTTGCGAGCAGAGCCGCAACAGGTACCCTCGTCAGAAATAAAAATAATTACCTGTGGAGATGCATGCTGGATGGCAATTCATCTAATGAGTGCCACAGCGAACCATTACCGGAATCTCCCGTCCCCCTGTATCCTTCTTGAGTTGTCACTTTGTGTCAATGCCCTGGGCATCTGGTTTAGCGGCGTGTCTGAAGGTGTGCAATCCGGCCCACCCCTGTGCCCCAAGTCTATGCCAAACCTGCCAGCCCCTGCACTTTATTTACCCTCACATGCAACGAGCCTTACACCTTCTTTGATCTGGCTGATCACAAGAGGCAGTTTAAGGACAGCCCCCAAGGTCCTCAGGAATTATTTAAAGTCGCAGACAGGACGACGATCACAGCCAGAGTCAACACCGAGTCCCGCCAGAAAAATTTATAGACTGTCTGGTGAGCGTCTGTTCAAAGGGCGGGCATGCCCTGCATGACCTCTATTGCGCAGCAGCAGAACCAAGGACTACTAGTCCCAGCGGGTTGGCATGGTGACTGTGACCCGAGTGCTCCGTCCAGGGCCCTTCAGAGGCTTCGCCTGTCTCCCACCAGCTTGCTGCCCAGGAAGAACGTCGACTCTCAAGGTTGAGCGGTCGCGACACCTCACATTGAGAGGACTCTAAAAGACAGAACTCACTTCCTCACGGTAAGAAGTAATGAAGAGGATAGATAAGGAAGAGAGCAACGTACCTCATAATGCTTCCCCCAACCACAGATTTATCACCGGCAACCTGAAGTGCATTTATGATGACCGGTCTTTGCCTCGGCACAACCAACAGCAGAATGCAGTTTCAACTCGGCTTAAATGCCACATCAGCGAGCTCTCATCATCCAGCGTATACCCCTAATGTCACCACATAGCTTCCTGGCGCGCCCACACGACCCTGGGCCGCCTATTCTGCAACGCCCAAGCCTTATTACTGCCCCACACCTCATGCGAAGCACCAAACAGCTATTGCGAAGAACCAATGAAGCGCAGTTCGAACCAGCTCCGATACCAAAATTGCAAGGAAAATGAGCAATAGTGAGATGACAATGTTCAGAATGCACAATCACATTGAAGGCCAGATAGTATCACAGTGTCCAGAAAGCAGAAGTGCACCAATATAACACCAATGAAGAATCGGAACACTGAAAACCAATGTCAATGAGAGCTTGCTCTCGCCACCATCAACATGAGTGTGCAGGCCCTATCTCCCTACTTGGCGCTCACATTGAAGGCCAGATAGTATCGCAGTGTCCAGAAAGCAGAAATGCACCAATATAACACCAATGAAGAATCGTAACACTGAAAACCAATGTCAATGAGAGCTTGCTCTCGCCACCACCAACATGAGTGTGCAGGCCCTATCTCCCTACTTGGCGCTCGGCGCCCAGCCTACTTCCTATACAGCTACAGTCTGCCTACTAATTGACAATGCAACTGTTGACGTCAGCAGCCCACGAAGTACGTGAAGATGTCGCCCAATGCAGACCATCGCCAATACAGGTATGTGCCCTCACATCATCATCATCATCATCCTTCTCTCTCTCTCCTGACTTACTCTCACGTCTTCCCTCTGCACACCCGAAGACCACCCCTGCGCCTCACTGTAGTCCAAGAGCATCCAGCTATGGTGGTAGGGCTATGGCGCTGCCCTCAGCAGCGCCCTGCTCCCTGCACGACCGCACGCGCTAGCACCTTGCCGCTCAACGCCAGCAGCAGCCCATGAGCGTCCGCTCCAGCAATGCTGCTGCCAGCATGCAACTGCTGAATGAGGCTCCAGGCAGCGATCTCTTTCCTATATGGAAAGAGCCTGCCTGCCTTCACAGCCTGGCCGGCCTGGGCCTGGGCCCAGAAGCTTTCGGTAGGGCCCAGGATGCTGCGCCTCTGTTGCAGCTACTGGGCCTCATTTGGTTGGGCCTCCCAACTCTGTGTATGCGCCTGCGATTCTCGTCCACGGCCTGCATCGTTTTGGAAAGGCCTGGACGGCCGTGGAAAGTCTCGCTGCTCGGCCTGTGTTTCCCTCAACCAACTGGCGCGATGAAACTGCCTGGACCCCAAATACGAAATTGACAGGTTAGGGCCTTTCGTGATTTGTTAGGCCCGCCTTCACTTGGGGCGGGCACATCTGCAGCAAGAGGCCCCTTAGGCCTGCCGAGGACCCAGATCCTCTCACACGGAGTTTTTGGCTTTTTCCCTTTTGGGATCTTGCACTCCTGAGTACCAACACTGCGGGAAGTTTTCTTGTTTTTTTTTTTTTTTTTTTTGGATTTCTTTCTGGCCTTCTTCACATGGCAATGATGACATGAGTAGCTTAGAACGTTTTTTTGCAGACTCCATTTCATCATAGAAGCTGTTCGAAAGATGTGCTCCCTTTGTTCCCATTATTCATTCACTCGGCCTATTGACACAATCAAACTGCATGCTTATGAAGTTATGATGATTCTAACTTTCCGTTTTCCTTTTTCGATTTCTTCTGCATTGTTCAGCCCTGTTCTTTGGAGCGTTCCTAGTTTTGAAAATGATTCCGAGGGCTTTTGTTAGTGGGTAGGAAATTTATGGATGGCCGTCGGATTCGAAATTTGTGTAGGTTTTGAGCAGTGTACTGTGTGATGTTGACTGGTTTTGTTGGCGGTTTTTGTTTTTGATTTGTTGTTCGTTATGGCTTCAGAATGACATCATGAAGCCTTTTGTTGTGATTATGCGGACAAATAAGACAGGGGAGATCAGGGAGTTGATAGTCCAGTGTATTGTTCAGGTGAGTTGACGCCGTAGTAGATTTTATGCAAGGATTATAACAAATGGAACATCTTTTGGAAATGCGAGTCTGCGCAATGTGAAAACAGAGTGGAGGTAACTGTGAAAAGAATCAAAAGATATTTTTCAGTCCATTGTGCTTGGTTGTACTGGTGCTTTAAATGCCTGCATTTATGCTGATTGATAAGGCTGTGGTGCTCTGCTGGAAAAGCCAGGTTAATGAAAAACACACTGTACACATGCTACCAGCAAAAGGGATCTGCAAGCCACATCTCTTGAGGAAATAGGGGAGACTCGTCGCCGACCTTGCCTTGTCTTTTCTTCTCTCATCGTTAAACAGGAATCCGGCGCGTGATGTCTCTTTATTTTTTTCCCTTCCTTTTTGCCTTGCTCTTTCCATTTCTCAATGTATGTGTGCCATCCTTGCGCAGGGGCCATGCTAATCTTCTTTCTGTGTATCATTCCGACTTTAACGGATGTCCGGAAGGACCTGGTGCGCACCTTGTCTCATTCCGTTTCTCAGTCAAGTCCATCAGCCTGTGACAAGCACCTCAACAAAAGTGCAGACTTTTGTTTTGGTGGTTGTCAGAGGCTCTAGAGGCCTTTGCGGTTTGCTGGTACTTATGGACAAAACACAGCTACAATTAGGGTATGGAAGAAGACCTTTTTATGAGGCTGGATAGGGACAAATCGAAGAGATTTGGCTGAGCTTGTTGTGAGATCGTCAATTGGTTTTATTATGGCTTAGTGTGCTCACCATCAATGGTTGTACTTGGCAAATGCGATGTAAGAAGCTGGATAGGGACAAATCGAAGAGATTTGGCTGAGCTTGTTGTCAGATCGTCAATTGGTTTTATTATGGCTTAGTGTGCTCACCATCAATGGTTGTACTTGGCAAATGCGATGTATTTCAGAAATTGGCTCTTTTCTCTCTAGATGCATCGTCTCAGCTGCTTGGCTGACTTTTAGTTCAGCTTTGCCGAGTATCATCAGAGATGCTTTCTTTTGTGTCCTGAATCTCCGGAGCCTGACTCCTGAATCAAAGATGCTTTCTCTTGGGTCCTGATTCCTGAATCTCTGAATCTCTGAAGATCTGAATCCATGGAACTCTGCAGTGGAATGATTGATTACCTTGCCCTGCTGACTTCACATTAATGTGATTCAAATCACATGCTTCATGGGCTAATTGTCAGGGCCCGTCTGCATTTGCCTCTCTGCCAGTCTCGGACCAATTGAGGGAAATGTATGCATAGCCTGGGCCCTGAGGTCGGCCTCTAAGACAGCTGGACCCTGAGATGAGCAAAGGGTACCCACCCGCACCCACCCGACGCACAAGGGGCTTGGTCAGGTGTGCGTGAAGATAAGGTCGGCCTGGGTGGGTGACGGTCAGGTTAATGCTCGGCCTGGTAACCCGAATGGGCAGGTGGCAGGTGGGTGAATGTATGGTCTTGGTCACCCAGCCCGCTGACCCAGGATGACCCACAAGGACCCTCACCCCCCCTCAGGAGAAAAATCCAGAAACGCTGAAGGACTGTGAAATGAAAAAGCTCCAGCCGTCGAAAAGAAAAACGTTGAGCCCCCGACGGCACATTCAGATCCACGTACGAAGAAAAAAAAATGCAGCAGTGTGCTGGATCCTTGGTCCCTTGGGATTTATCGCTCCCAACAAAAGCAAGTGGAGCGAACATAATTACATCAGGCGGCAAGGTTCACTCCCCAATTTTGAATTCAGCAGTAGAGCTTTCCGCATCGTGCCCGAAGGCGCAAGGTGCAAGGTGGAGCTGTCGGAGCATCATGGAGGCGGCGGTGGCGATGAGGTGGTCATTAGCATCACAGCGCAAGGCGGAGATGCCCGAGCAGCAGGGAGGGGGGGGTGGCGATGGGATGGTCAACAGCATTCTGTTTGTTAGATCGAACAAGGACTTGGGTAGCACGTGAAAGTTGGACTCGTTTGTATCGGGTTTCACTGTCAACTTTCTACAACTCATTGAGATTGTGTTGTTTGTGTTGATGAATAATTTTTTATTTCTCAGCAGGGAGGGGGGGGTGGCGATGGGGTGGCATTGAGCATCAACTTAGGGGTTCGATGGTCAACAGCATTCTGTTTGTTAGATCGAACAAGGGCTTGGGTAGCACATGAAAGTTTATGGTCTCGTTTGTATCGGGTTTCACTGTCAACTTTCTACAACTCATTGAGATTCTGTTGCTTGTGAAATCAGTCTTGCAAATTCACACTCAAACATGCATGCAACAGATGAGAATAACTTGGCGCTGTGCACCCAACTCAAACTCGGAGATATGGTAGCTTGCAACTCAACTCAATTCCAAGTTCACTTCAGTTGACTATGGCGCTGGGCGCCCACACTTACACGTTCGACTCAGAGTTCACACGCAACTCGACTCCGGATCACCCTGGATACCATGCACGCCAATCACTGCACACCCACATACACACTCACTAACTGTCTATGGCTATGGCGCATGGCCACTAACAGCTAACTAGCCTATCACTAACTTCTGCCCACTTCGTCTTCAGGCCATCTGCAGACCTCCCTTGCACAAGACGCCCGAGCAGYGCTTCCGCAGAGCTTCCGCAGGAATGAATGAATGGCTGGACGCAGCCTCTTGATTTATACTTCTGCGCAGCTCCTATTTGGCCTGTATTCTCTGGCCCCGGTACCCTTRGCCCCATATGGTACTTGCTGGACCGGACAGGGACTTTCTGGACACTTCCTCGACTGCACTACGACTCACCTACGACTCACTGCAGTCCTACTGAGGTCCTACCAGTTGACTTCGACAGATGTCACAGTCCTACGGCGCAAGTAGACTTAGCTACACCACTTGCCCACTGGTCGACCTTCTAGAAGACCTCTGGACCCTACTTCGATTTTTGCCCTACAGGTCTGTGGTTCGAATCCCTTACTTCTCTGGTGCCTACGATGACCTACCTGCAAGTGGCTATCCTACAGGTCACAGGTTCAAGTCCTACAACTACACAGATATCGTACACAGGTAAGTTGGGGAACTAGGGATCGAGCCCTGGTACCTACATCAGCTACATCAACTACACAGATATTGTACACACGTAAGTTGGGGAACTAGGGATCGAGCCCTGGTACCTACATCAGCTGGTAACAACTTTGATGCGTGGAAAACTGGGTAAGTGTGGAGGTGTGCTGGTAACTCTATAGTATAGGATGGTCCGTCTGCGCCGCCTTTGACTTCTAGGACTGGCCACGGTCCTCGATAGGTGGGTAGTAACTTCTGCGAGATGTTCTCCTCAGGTGTAAACTCTTTAGAACTGACCCAGACTAAGTCGCCTACTTGAAACTGCGATGGGCGACGATGTTTGTTTGCTTGTTCTATCATCCTGTGCTGGGCCTTTCTGAGGTTCTCTACTACAGTAGCTAGTTCTTTCTCGTGTTGCACAGCAAACTCCTGGGTCCCGGGTGGCAATCTGTGAATTTGATCCCGGCTAAGTCCTTCAAATGGTCTACGGGGCCKAAAGGACTTGTGCAGTTCATTGGGAGTGCGGCAGGTGGACAGATGCACGCTGTTATTATATGCACTAGCTACCTTAGGTAACATCTCATCCCAGTTAATCTGATCCGGCCTAATGTACATGCGCAGAACTTGCTGTAGGATCTTGTTCATTTGCTCTGTCTGACCGTTAGTCTCTGGATGGCGGCCGGACGACATCATTAACTTAGATCCATACACTCCCATGAGTTCTTGCCAGTTCTGGCTAGTAAAGCGACTATCTCTATCGCTAACTATAGACAGTGGGAT